TGTGTTTTTATACTTTTTCTGTGTCCAGTCATTGTTTGTCTTTTATCTCTGTAGTGTGTGTGTGCTGTAATTGTTGCTTCACATATCTTTGTACTTATTTTGTGAGTGTTAATCACTGTGTTTCTGTTATTTATACATCATTTCAACGCAGATCACTTTGAGATATTTCTGGTTATTTTATGTCCTAATTTTTTTCTGTGTGAGTTGTTCATTTTGTTCAACTATTATGTGATCTAGTGTCGTTTCGACCTCATTTTCCATCTGTGGTCATTTTGCGTTTTAATGATTTAAAAGGACTTTGTTGTTGTGTCTCTTTGTGGTCATTTTCCCACGTCTTTGTCGTCTTTTTTACTTCCCCCTGTGGACATTTTCCAGTTTTTTTCATTTTGTGTTATTTTTATGTGGAGGTTGTTTTTGTTCGCTCACTCGCTTCTCTCTCAGACTCACAAATACACACTCGGGGGGGCATGAGTCTTTCCTTAGAGGAAGTGTGCGTGTCTTTTTAATGTGTTTTTGTGAGTCTTTGTGAGTGACACATTAAAGAACAAAGACAGGAGCACAAAACTGACTTTTAAGACCGCTAGGAACAACACACACTCACTCTGTTTCTCTCTCACTTTTCCCCCCAAACCAAACCAAGCCAAGCACGACACAGAGTGGCACTTGGAGCTAAGTGGTAATTAGCTCAAAGAAGCCCTGACCCGGACCCCCAGCACAGCCTCTATTTCAAGAGTAACTCAAAGGAGATGTGCAGCTAATTAACGAGCCACTGAGGAGAAACCTGAGGCAGCAAAGTGGAGGAAAAAGGATGAGAGATGGTTCCTTTGCTGCCACGTCCAGCTGTCAGCATGTCAGGGAGAGGAGATTTTAATCAGTATCTTTCTTTGCATAATGCGCCGTTTCTGTTTCATGCAAATAAACAAGGTGTTGCATGTCACTTCTTTTATAAATTGTGACGCCCTTCATAAAGTACATGCTGGTTTAGTGTTTTAAAGATGGCAGTTGTGATTTTTTTTATCATTAAAGGGAACATTTAAACTGATCAGACGTGTCAAACACCTGAAATCAAACAGCTTCAGAAACATTTCACAAACAGATTTATCAAACTTGAAAGTAATATTATCATGGTTTCTGTCTGTATCATTAGTTTTTATCAATGTCATACGGATTATGCGTGTACTTAAAGAGACAGAAGTCAGAAGGTAAACAAAGATAGAGATGAAGTCTTCTAATAGAGAAAAAGATAAAGACACACAGAGGAACAAACAGGTTTAAAGGTCGACAAATGAGGAACTGAGAAACTGCAGTACTGCCTCATGCTATTTAACAATGTAAGTTATGGAATGGTCCTGAGTTCGTTGAGATGGGGACAAAACAAGGTTGGGGGATGGATGGTGCAAGTTTAAGGCAGAGACTCTGCATGGCAGAGGAGGGGACAATCCAAGGTTGAGAGACGGACAGTTTTAGGTAGTTGATTGAAATGATTAAAATAGAGGACGCATGAAAAGTCGCAGATAGGTATGCAGGACGTCAGTGTGTTGGTTACAGCTTTTCCCTTATAATAACATAACTTAAGTAGGTGGTTAGGTAGGTAAGTAGGTAGGTAGGAAGGTAGGTAAGTGACTTTATTACTCCCGATAGGAAAATTAAATTGTCGTTGTAGTCTGGTAAAGTACAATAAAATAAATAAAATACTGAATGAGACAAGAGAGTGAAAAACAAGATATAAACAATATGTACACATGCCTTAAATAGAATACTTGAATACTATGAGTGGTCCTGGGTTCGAATCCCCTTCAAGTAGGGACTTTCAAGTGAAGTAGAAAAGAAATGCTCTTCTTCACTGCAGATTTTAAGCCGTCAAAATGAAATGGTGACATTAAAAGACTTGAAAATGCAGCTACATTAAGGCTGGTCAGTGGTAAAGTGGTTAGAGCTACTTTCTCTGAGTAACGTGGTCCTGGGTTGAGAGTAGGGACCCACTTATGCCTGAAAGTAGTCAGACTGTAGCAGCATCCCACTGTGTAAAGAAACACACACACAGAAAAAAAATCTCCCAAAGTTTCATGTAACTTTATTTAGCAGCAGCCTATCAAAGTATAACCCAGCCCCCCGTCCCTGAACCCCAGCAGTGCTGTCTAAATTTGGAAAAACCCACATGGAGTCAGATTTTTTCCGTTTGTTTGGACATGAGCTCTAAAATCCAAACTGTGTCACAGAAGCAGAAAAAGCAGATTTGAGCCAGCAGTGTAAATTCAGCGCCTGGTTCTCCCTGAAGCCTCACTGTGCCAAGTTTGACTTTGCTCTATTTTAAGCCGCTCGACTGAGATAACCTCCCGGGTGAGAGACGAGAGCGGAAACCTGCTTTACTCTGACAAAGTTTCCCCTGAAACATCGGAGGGCTTCGAGTTTGGTCATTTAATTACTGTGGAAAAATCAAAGTCCTGCATCAGATCATATTTTCAGCTATAAAATGTGCTTTATTTTTAATCTTAAGAAAGAGGACAGACTCAGAGTTTCATTAAGTACCCAGTAAATAGTTGTTTACCCAGAAAGTCTGACCCAGTATTAGAAGAGTGAGTCACTTCTCCGTCAGATTGAACGCCCTCAGAAGTTTCCTGAAATGACCGTACGTGAAGTGAGACAGCGATCGAGGTGGATACTCATTTGTACTCAAAGATGATAGTCCAGATGGCACTCAGAGGACGCGGCGTCGCTCTGAAGAAAATTACCGGCTACATCGCTCTGTAAATAAAGCGGCGCTCGTGCCAAACGAGCACGTCGGCCGGCGTGGACGTGTGGGAGACTAATGGCTTAGAATTAGCTGTAGCTTGTGGGCCGTCTGTCAGCGCGATCATCTGGTAAATGGCACTTTGGGACATCTGGGTCGAGACCGCCTCCTCTGCATAGTGCCACCCGCCTGGTCCTGTAGGATCATGGGTACTCTGGTGCGAGAGTGTGTGTGTGTGTTTGCTTCCTCTCAGTTCATTTAAGGTCCACTTGTCTTTAAAAAAGGGTGATTGGTGATTTACTGGAACAAATGAATGAGTTAGATAAATTATTCATTAAAAATCACTTTTGCGTGTTTTTCAAAGATGATTGTTGGACTTTAAGAGATTTACAACAACTAAAGTTGGATTATTTTTCTGTTTTTATTCAAATGAAAACCAAAGAACAGCCAATTTCATCACTGAGTGCCATTTAATTCAATGAGATTTGATCTGATGAAGTAAAACTTAACTCCAGGTGAAGGATCTGTTTTTCCAAAGAGGTTTTCAGCTCTCGTGTTAGCCCTGATAAAAGCGGGACAAGAGAGTGAGAAGTCTGCATAAAGCTGTGAGACCTGGTCGGAAAGTTCAGGTAAATCTGGCTGCACTAGAGTAGAGGTTTCTTAAAGGGATATTCAGGGGTAAAATTGATTTAGGGTCAAACACACCGTAACACCTAGTTAGACACCCCATCGAGAAACATCTTTTTAACTTTGCCTGATTTCTTTAGCAAAGAGACTAAACACAACTCACCTACTCTCTTCCAGCAGCTGCTTGTGTGTAGCGAGACCTCAATCCAGTCCATTACAGACTACAGTGGGGTGTCGCAGCTCAAGGAAGAACATTTATGATCATTACTTAATGGAAATACAATCAGACCGAGACACTAAGGCAGAAGAACTACCACGTCTGCAGTGCAAAATGATTAATATGGTGATTTTTACTTCAAGGAAATGATAAAGAAATTATCATAAATGTTCTTCCTTGAGCTGCGACACCCCGCTGTAGTCTGTAATGGACTGGTCTGAGGTCTCGCCGGAATATCCCTTTAACTTTCTTCCTACTTTTACTTTTCACACCCTCAAGACTTTTAAAAAGAAGTTATTTGTGTTTAAAAGCAGCCTCAGATATGCAAATCTCGCCCTGTGAAGTTAGTATCACAATCAGCCTAAGAAGCCCTTAATTCTCCGGCTCTATTGTTAAAAAACGATCTTTTGACTTCTACAGAAACTTCAAGCTCTTCGGCGCTGATTTTGTATATTTTCCGTCCACTTTCAGCCGCTCAGGTCACACGCCGGAGTCAGACACAGAGCCGTCTATTTGGATGCTCGGAGCGTCCTCCCTCTTCCTTTCCAGGATGTTTTATATTCCAGTCTGCTGCTGTGGCCATGAATCAGATTATTGCAGCAGCAGCAGAGTAGATTCTGGGTCCCTGCTTTCACAGTTCCTTTTCTACTGGTCTCTGATATTTGCATTTCTTTTAAATCGTAAATAAATAAAACTTCTCTTTAAATTAAAATCTTAAACTTTACTGAAAATACTGAGAGGACTCTGCACCTCAACCTGCAGCCTGGAGTCAAGTCAACTGCACCTGAAACATTTTGACGTCCTGTTTTCTCCGATTTAAAGACAGCCTATTCTTCTTCAAACAAACCGCGTGATGACCTTTGACCTTTACCGAGACAGCAACATCTATTCTCCGTCCTGTATTTGTTCGCTCTGATGTTACAACATCTAGAGCGGGGGGGACAAAAAAAAAAAAAAAGACCCAGCGAAGATAAACTGTTCAGTCCTCCAGCAGAAAATGACTGTGACTGACCTTTGACCTCTCTCTGGCTAGCTGTGACGCTAAGTAGAGCATGACAGGGTGATTTGACAAGGAGGTGCCAGAAAATGACAGCTCTATCAAGTCCGGGCTGAAGACTTGTGTCCCGCAGCAGGAGGGGTGTGTGTTTAAGAAGAAAAGGGGGGAAAAAAGCTCATTTAGAGAAAAAAGCCCCCTGTCCTTCTGCCCGCCGCCCTCCTGCTGAAAACATGAAATATTCATCTCATGCATATTTGGAGGGGAAGCTTTAAAAGCCTGTGTTGTAGAGCTTCCTTCATTACAGCCTGAAAACAAAACTCACTCGACCTCTTTCAGCCCCACATAAAGCCCAGACTTTACCCACCGTTAGTCTCCTGCTGGTTTTCCACCAAACACGCCGTTATGGATTCTTTAAACAGACTCTCTACCTGGAGCTCAGTGCAGATTAATGCCACAACTTCATCCTTTTACCTTTTCTGCTCCAGGTGAGAAAATACAGCTCTTTTTTTTTCTCATTTTCACACTCTACAGAAGCTACAATCAGCAGGTGAGAGTGTGTAGTTAGTGTGTCTGTGCAGACACTGTTAAATCATGAGAGTGCTATTTCCTGTTTAAGGTCATTGTGCTCATTCCAGTCTTTTACTGCACTGATAATGTTCAGGTCGTATTTGAAGGAATAATGAAGTTAAGTTTATAGATACTTAACTGCATGATTGTCTCAAACTCTTGATTTGAATCAGCAGTCATGCATCAGGTTGGAGTTCACAGGTTTTGATGATAAAGGTCCTTTCACACCAAGAGCGTTTTTTCGTGCAGTTATTTCAGACGTCAATAATTTTTTTCCAACCCGTATCCTGTTAATACAAGCGTTCACATCAGCGACGTTTTCCCATCCTGTGATATTGCGGCATCACGGTCAATTTTTCCAAAGTTTTGCATACTGTGTGTCCACTTCTGACCAATCAGATTTCGTGTTGTTGTGACATCTGATTCACCGGTATATCCAACATGGCCGACCGGCTGATTGTTTACATGTCGGAGAACAGAGTGATTTTTGATAAAAGACACAAATATTACAAAGATAACGACCTGAAGGACAACCTGTGAAGAGTCATAGTGTCGGATTTCTCATATGACAATGGTTTGTGTGCTTTAACAGTTTGCTAAACGTCTTTGTTTTAACTTTCATCTGTGCTAAGTAACTTTAGCTCTTAAGCTAACCTGTTCAGATACAACATACCATATGTATTTTCACTGTCTCAAACTCAATCGCGTCGCTGTCACAGCACCATTAGTTCTCGGTTGTTACCTTACATTTATGGATTATAGTTTAATGTGCTTATCTGGTACTGGCCCCGACTCAGTACATGCTTTCATGACAGACAGACATCTCTTTGAATATTTCATAATTTTGCGTCGTAAATTTCCGTCATTCCTGGTGTGTAAGGACCTTTAATGTTTAGGAACAAAAAGAGAGAAATACTGATTTGTGCAAAAATTCAGCATACAGTAATAACTTGAGTTCATGGTCAAAAATCCTTCATAGCTACTCTAACACATTCATTCTGGGCATGTAGTAAACTTAATTTATTTTGGAAATGTATTTTTAAGTGTTTTTCTGAGGCTTTTGGTAAAAATCTGGCACCCAACCCTCTGGTTGCCATTCTTAGTGCCACAAGTGTCCTTTCTTCTGTCAATAAATCTAAAGAAGTGCAGTTCAATTTGGGATGGTGGTTGCTAAAAAGCTGGTAAGCAAGCGGTTGGCAACATCCATCTCTTTGGGGGGTGTCTAACTCAGTGTTACGGTGTGTTTGACCCTAATTAATTTTATGCCGGAATATCCCATTAAAACAGTCAGTAAGAGGAGCCTTAAAACAGATCATAAACAAAGATTTATTCATAAACAGTCGGCATGTGATGAGCCCGTGCATCTCTGGTGGGAGGGACGAACATGCAAAGAAAAGATGCAAGTGAGAGATAATGACTGCAACTGAGATTACGACAACAACGGAGCAAACAAGCTCAAACTTTGACTATTTCTGAAATTGAATCTTATTTTTTAAAACTATCCTTCCAAACTTTTCAAAGACTTGTTCTCAGTGTCTTCCTCTTGGTTAAACAGGCGATAAACACTTCAGCGCTTCAGCATTCAAACTCTTTATGCAGCACTGAGACAAAACTTGCTTTATAAAGCATCACACTGACTGAATTTTACAGTTCAGATTTTTCTATCTGCTTATCTTGTCTCTGTGAAATATCTCTCAAAAATGGTACAAAGTCTGGATTTTTTCCACATTACAAACTCAGACTCTCCGGTCTGCTGTAACACTTTGTTCTCCCTCCTCTGGAACCAGTAAAGTGCTCTCTCCTCTCTTATCTTATTTCTTTTTCATGAGGATTTCTCAGGGACATCAATAATGTACAGTCTAATTTTAAATCATCTGTGAGTGCAGTGAGATGATTCCTCTAAAAATATCTGGAAGAGAGTCTCAGGATTGTGGAATAACCTCGTCTTTCTGCGGCGGTGTTTGCAGATGTGAGTGTTTCTTGTATGATGAAGCCCTGGGGTGTTAGATATGAGACCACACAGTTCATACACAGTGTGTGAACGATTACGAGGGGAAACGTTCACTCCCTCTCTTAGTCAAACTTTTCTCCTCACTGTTCCTCTCTCTCCTCTGCAGGAAGTCAAAAACCGAGCGCTCCTCAAGACTTCCTGAGGATGTCACCGTTCCTGCTAACATCAGCAGACCCGACCCTGATCCCAGAGCTTCCTGAGGATGGATTTGACTTCCTGTCGGCGGAGGAAGCCATGATTGGATCTGGCTCTCTGTACAGCTCACCGCGAAGGTGAAGCTCCTTTTCCCCAAATCCCCCGTCATTGTCTCGCAGAGTTCCAGATGAGGACAGGGATTAGGAGATTAAACCCTGTCTGAGTCTGTGCTAATCTCTGCTTGTTTTTACACCTTTCCCAAATCTAACATCCTCCTCGTCCTCATCCTCTCGCAGCTTCCTTTCCTCCTGATGTGAGGCAGCAACAGAGCTGTTATTTTCCTTTATGAGGGCTTGACAGGGAACATCAAAATCCTGCAGGTTTTCCTTTCACTCTTTGGACAACAACAATAAGAGAAGACTTGTAGGAAGACAGATTTACAGCCCTGTGGTGCACAACTAATCGTACTTCACTGCCTTTCCAAAGAAAACGTCAAAATCTGTATTGAATTTCTCTTTTTTTGTTTCTAAAAAGATGTTTTTTTCTTCTCACTGGAGCAGATCTACTCCACTGGTTGTTGTAGACCTTCACTTTCTCTTCTTTTTATTCTCTGGTTCTCTGCTTCAAAACAAGCTATAAAAACTACTGTATTCACTTTTTTATACATCTGAAAAAAGTGTGATCATCTTTAATTACAGTTTAATAATTGAATATCAAGATTGGTGACAGACGTAGAGCTGAGTGTCATCTGCATAGCAGTGGAAGTCTACATTATGTTTTAGCAAGATTTTCCCCAGAAGGAGGATGTCCACAGTGAATAAAAGGGGACCTATGATTGAGCCCTGGGGGACGCCACATGAGAGAGGAGGAGGTATTTCCAAGAACGACAGAAAAATTAAATATTTCAGACGGCTGAATAAGACTTTGTTGTTGGCTGAAGTGAAACCAGTTATTATTAACATCTATGGAGAGACATAGTGTGATGCCTTTTAAAGAACACTGTTATCAGTACAGCACAGATATTAAAAGGGATATTTCACGATTTTTTAAGTGAAGTTTGAGTTACATTTACCTTAAGGTCAGGTTTCTCGTATTTCTTGTTCTTATAACCTTGTTTATTTTTTAATATGCTTTAAATGTTTTTAATCTCCTCTTTATGGCACTTCGAGATTTGCTTTGAATTTAAAGGGTGTTGTGAATAAAATGTATTATTGTTAATGTTATTATTACTACAAAGTGAGATCCTGACACAAGCATTCAAAGAGATTTAAGTGTAAGCAACACACATTTGTGCTCCTCCCCCTTGCATAGTGCTGGATCTATTATGTACGACTCACATCTATATTACAAATTTTAATATTTTTGTATCTCAGGTTTGCATCAGATCATCACCAAATGCCACAAATTACCCAATGGACACTAGGGATGGGAGAAAAAAAAAAAACGAAAAAAAATCAGCATAGTTTCGCGATTTTTTTGTCTAGTGATATATCGTATCGTCCCATTGACCAAATATCAATTTTTTTGAATTAATTGTTGATATGAAGTCAAATCTATGATTAGTGCAACACATATATAATGTTTGCAAGATGTGCTAGATGAAAATAAAATACTGTGTAAACACGACAAACATAACGAAAAACTAAATGCTAAATTAGCTAAACAGTTGAAAAAATTGTACAGATCACGATATATTGTATCATAATACTCACTGTACAGCAAAATGTTAAAAAATCTCAATAATATCGTACCGTAATAATATCGTATCGTGGGGGCACTGGTGAACACTGTGATGACTTTAGAGTTTGTTATTTCAGCTCAGTCACTAACACAGTGTAATTTGATTGGAAATGGGTTTTGCCATTATACAATAAAAAATACTGACAGCTGAACACTTATTTTGAAGACACTCTTTAATTTACCTTTTCTGGTTAGTTGATTCGACTCCTGAATGTTATGAAAAGTCAGTAACCAACAGGTGTGTTCAGTGGACTCAGTTAATTAACACCGAGCCTTCAGCCTTACATGAATAGACTGTCTAATTTGGCTCCCAAAGATCCAGATGCAACTACTCTTTCTGTCCTGAAAATAAAAATGCCACGTGCAGAGTGAGGCCAGAAAAAAAAGGTTCCCAAGCCTGAGAAAAAGCTCCTGCAGAATCAGGACACAAGCAGAAGTTTACTGTAATTTAGGGTTTATGATGCTGCACCAACAAAAACCCAATTCTATAATAAAAGCCTGAAGAATAAAAAATAAAACGGGGCCTGCAATTTTCCGCTCATGGGTGTCTTTGAAGTCCAAAAGTGAGTTGTATCTTTTCTGTCAGTGTCAGTGTACCGATGCCAGGACCGAATCCGGCCTCTGAGACAAAACAAACAAAAGCAGACACTGGATCTGAGCCCGTGCCAGAGACAGTCATGCTCGTGCATCTCAGTGCAAATATACATGTACAAAAACACACAAAGGAAGAATCCGGGAGGAAGTGTGGAAGAGCTGTGGGGTCACCTGAGGTCACCGCCACCTGGGAGGCAGCTATTGTGCCTGATTGATGTTTCCCTGCAAACAGGAGTCGTTTGTGTCCCCGAGGCTGTCATTTCAACTCCTATCATGGAAATGTGCGCTGAACCTGCTGGATCTCCCTCGGGGGGGAGCATTGTGAGAGACTGTGCATGAGTGTGAATGTGTGTGAGGGTGAGGGTGGGCAGGAACAGTGGGGGATTTTATTGAAGCAGTAGAGTAACATCTTCCTGCTGGCAAACGAGCAGAAAAACTCACAAGTGTGGTCTTCCTCTTCTCCTCTTTTTTCTCACCTGCTATGAAACTTTACACGGTCGTTTATGCACAGACTGTTTCACCGCTCCTGGGTGCTCATAACCTGATAAAACCTCAGAGTTTAATTCTAAAAATATGTGCAGGTATGAAGGGCAAACTCCTCTCTGAAAAATGAAACACTTAAGGAGAAGTGTTTTTCTTTCTCTTTCTTTGACAAGGACGACTTTAAAAAAAAGGAACAAGCCAGAGGAGAAAATCAGCTCCGACCTCTCTGAGGTCAACCCGGTTTTACAAAGACCACATTTTTCAGCTCCAGAAACAGTTAAAAAGTTGATGCTAACTTTTCTGAATGACCGTAAAATTTGATTTAAGAGATGCACTTTATTTGTCGCCTGAAAAGCAACAAACTGAAATGACCAATATGCAGGTTTAAATCCAGAGAGAGTCATATAGGGACACATGGACCAGGCTGAGGAGGTCAACTTTTAGAAGATTTAAAGGGATATTCCGGCGTAAATTTAAGTAATGGTCGAACACACCATATTACAAAGTTAGACACCCCCTCGAGAGATGAATGTTGCAGAGATCTTGTGTATCTTGTATGTGCACTCGGTAATCGACTAGTCAGGGCTTCCCCACAAACAAGTGACTGCTGGAAGAGAGTAGGTGAGTTGTGTTTAGTCTCTTTGTTAAAGAAATTAGTCAAAGTTAAAAAGATGTTTGGTGGCTAGTACTATGGCTAGGACCCTATATGTACTGTTGATGAAGTTAGGTGCTGTTCTTAGCATTATTTGTGGCTATACAGTGGCGTTTTGGTTGAGGTTTGTTTATTTCTCCTAAGATCGTTGTGTATTGCTATCGTGCCGTCGTTACTAAAGTTGGTATAACTAGAGAAAGAAGCGGTCGGCATCATTCATCTCTCGACGGGGTGTCTAACTCTGTGTTACGGTATGTTTGACCTCAACTTAAGTGTATGCTGGAATATCCCTTTAAGTTAATCTAAATTGTAGAGTGCTAACTTTACAGAAAATCGCCCATAATTGAGGAAGGAAGTGACAGTAGGAGTGGATGTCTCTGCTATGGAAGGTGAAAACATGCCCCATTTCAGCTGGTAACTACTCATTGACCAAGAACATGTCTGAACAATACTGAATCTAATTCTTTTGCTTGTACAATAAGCCATTTTGTCTTCTTGATGATGCTTGACAAGCTCTCTGGCTTATAGGGAAAATCTGGTGTAAAATTAAGTTATGGTCAAACACACCGTAACACTGAGTTAGACACCTCGTCGAGAGATGAATGTTGCCGACCGCTTGCTTCTCTGGTTATACCAACTTTAGTAACGACCGCACCACAGCAATACACAGCAGTCTGAGGAGCCATAAACAAACCTCAACCAAAATGCCACTCTATAGCCATAAATAATGCTCAGAACAGCACCTAACTTCATCAACAGTACATATAGGGTCCCAGTCATAGTACTAGCCACCAAACATCTTTTTAACTTTGACTAATTTCTTTAGCAAAGAGACTAAACACAACTCACCTACTCTCTTCCAGCAGCCACTTGTTTGTGGGGGAGCCATGATGAGTTCATCATTTCAACTTAATCAATAGGATCAACTTAATTTTTGGTATATCCCTTTAAGTCTCCAGGTCTGCAGGTCTATATGGGCCAATTCTGAAGGACTCAGGACACCCATGCACATCAAACCTGCTGCATTTATCTGCTGGTTTATTGAATTTTAAAAGTAAAACTAACTTTATTCAATTATTAAGGAACAAAAATTGTATACTAATATTACACACAGTTTTTCCTCCATGCCCACATAGTAAAAGTACAGGTGTCACTGTGGAGTGTGTCTGCTGCCTCCTCTAACATGTACCTCCTTCAGCAGAGAGCTGCAGCACACTGGAGCCAAAAACCACAACAAGCATCATAAAATAATTTCAGAATGGCTGAAAATCTCGGTTTGGATTTAAACTCATTTCCTCTTTCAACGCTGCTCATTTTTTTCCACGAGTATTGACTTGCTAAATTCCCATTCAATTTATGCAAATCCCCCCACAATAGTCACTGTTGCAAAGTGTTGCATACTGTAAGCCTGCTAAAGCGGCGTGCTCGGGCCCAAAGCGGCGCTCCCTTCAGGTTTCACAGCACCGTAGCTGCATGGGTAGCTTGACACCAGGGAGGCAGAATGAATAATAGATGTGTGTTACTTCACCCAAACGGATGAATAATTCAGGAGGGGGCTCGGAGGGTGCGGGAGACCGCGCAAGATGACCGCGCTCAACGTGCGGCTTCACGCTGCCTGGGCTCCATCTAAAAATACAGACTCACATGTGCTGTACGAATGCATCAGGCCACATCCACATAACACGCTCTCTGTAGGGAGCCAATGTACACGCACACGAAGACATGCAGATACACTCAAACTACCTACGCATACGCCGCCAGTAACACAACGCACATGCACTCAGAATTTTCAAAACGTCCCCTAGCGAGGCCGGATTAAAGATGCTGAATAGGAAGCTTGGAGAAAAGAAGAAGACAGTGCGGTGTAGGAGTGTTCCTGCACCGAGACTCCAAATTATATTGTACATCTAATCCAGTGACCAAACCACTCTGAGAGTGCATGTTGAGGCCAAGGAGGTTTTAGGCAGCTCCAGAGTCTGCTATTGTCCTGCCCTGCAGTGATCCTGCTTTATTTAAACTCATGAGAGACAATGTCCTCCTTCTTTTCAGCGTTACTCCTCTGTGGTGAATTCCCATCATGATGCTGGAAAAGTCGGCTGAAAGTTGCGCTTGTGTTGACGAAAACTTAGCTCTACAATAAATACTTAAAACGAGGCTTGTCGATACTTCCACGGACCTGAATACTTCTGGGTATTTGTTCGGCCAGGTCTACTTGGAGGGGCTTTGACTCAGTCGGGGGCTGTAAAGCAGTTACTGGCGCCGACTGCCAGTTTTTAGGGGAGGCAAATTGGGTCCTAAATCGAGCCTAAAACTGTCTGGTGTGAAGCCAGCCCAACGAAACTTTATTTTAATCTTAATTAATGGTTTGAAACGAGCACTCAAAGATAATATCAGGTTTGAAGTGTCTAATAACCAGATTTAGAGACTAATCAAAAACAGACACCGTATCAAAGTGTCTCTGACCTGTGCTCACGCTGAGGGGAGGATCTGGAGCGCAGTCAAAGCCCTGCTGGTTTGAACTAATATTTTGGTATTATTTGTTTGGAGGAACGCCAGCGCAGAGCCGTTAACCTTGGGTGTGTTTTCTCCTTCGGTGATGTGATGTGATTTCGCTCGGCTGGCTGTTTTTTTTTTCTTCTTTTTTTTTACGGCAGAGTTGTTGTGACTCATCCATCTCCTGTCAGCGGTGACGAGGAGAGAAATTTCATCTCGGTGAAAAAAACCCATCCTTCAAACCTGTCGGGAGAAACGCTCATCAGCACATCCTCGTCTCGCACCTCCCCAACTGTCCCCTTTGTCTTCCTCTCACCTTGTGTCCTCGGCTTTCCCACCTCCTTTCCCCTTCAGTTCTTTGTGTTTCAGTCGATTATTTCCCACATCCTACACTATGTCCTGATTTTTATTTCCTGTTCTGTTTGCATAGCTTTTCTTTGATTTGCTTCCCCCTCTTCCTTTCAATTCCATTTTGTCGCTTTTCTCAAGGGAATAATAACCATAAATAAATCAAACCATACTTCAAATAAACACAAGGTACCTGACTGTAAAGACAAGGATAAGTGCCCAGGCATAAAGAAAGATGGACAACAAAAGCCAGAAGTTTGAGGGCTTTTTCTTTCACACAAATAGAGAGGTCTGTTTAGGCTGAGGCACACCATGCTAGGCTAGGATGGACCCTCTGCCTCCCCTCACCAGTCTATTTTTACAAAGAAAGAGAAGAGAGAAAAAAGCAATAGATCTGAGAAGTTAGGGAAACGATAAAATAGGCTGAGAGGTCAGTTTAGCCTGAGATCATCCACGTCAGATTAAGCTGTACGCTCGACCTCCACCTGCCTCCTGTTATTCATAAGGAAAGAGGGTCTACAAATAGATGTAAGAATGAAGATAAGGAAGAGAGAGCTGGCAGACGATGCTTGTTCGGGCTACTCCAGCTGGGTTAGACTGTACGCTTGACCTCCCCCTGCTTCCTGTTCTTTATAAGGGAAGAGAGAGAGAGTCTCCAAAGAGATATAAGAAAGAAAGTAGACTCCCGCTGGGTTATACAGTGTTGCTGCATGCTCTACCTCTCTTTAACCTTCATTAGAAGACAGGAGAAAGACACAGAAGGAGGGAGAGACAGAAAGAGAAACTTGTCTGTACCAGGCCACACTCCTACCTCCCCCATCTCCCTTTTTTTATGAGGACAGATCAGACTGAGACAGAGAGGACAAAACAAGGGGTCTGCTGGACTCTTGTTTCGAGTGAAGTTAGCCACCAAATGATTAGGCAGTAAGGGTGTATGCGCTACCTCTCCTTGACCTTTATAGGAAGACAAGAGAAAGACAAAGAAGAAGGGAGAGACAAAAAAAGTTAAAGAGAAACTTGTCTGGGAAGCTGTTGAATCAGGCTGTACACACTACCTTCCCTGTCTCGCCCAATTTCATAAGGATAGATTAGACTAAGACAAAGGACAAAGACTGGGCTCTTGTGTAAGGTGAAACGAGCCACCAAATGATTAGGCGGTGAAGGTGTACACTCTATCTCTCCCCTACTCTATTTTTTTTTTGTGAGGGAAGAGAAGACAAAAAGCAAGAAGGAAAGAAAAGGAGTCAAGAGATGTTGGTAAGGCGACACCAAAAAGGTTGTTTGTAAGTCATCTTTGGAGCACAGTCAGCCTTTTACCGTGAAAATATTTCCTTTTCTGCAGCAGCATTAGTTTGTCTTCGCCTTGTTTGATATTAGAAAGGTTGACATTTAGGAAAAGGTCAGAGAACCGGTGTTATCATATTATGTACCTTCACCAGAGAGCCACCAAAGCCAAGCTGACTCGTCCTCTCTCTGGTCGTCCTTCTCCTCTCTGACTGACTGACTAGTCCTCTGAAGGTCACCGCTAGATTAATGAGCTGATCGCTGACAGTGGAAATGTGTCTGACACCGCTGCCCTGCCGTCTCCTTGTTCCTGTAATGATCATCATTTTCTCTTATCTACACGGCTGCTGACTCTCTCACAGCAGGTGATTCTGAATCAGTCTGGAGGACATACCCCCTTATTTTTCTCTCCACCCTGCTGTCTCTCATCCCTGTCCAAAGGTGAAAACCTCATTATTCAAAATTTGAGAATCACAGGGGATTTGGGGATCCAGCATAGTGGGCTGTGGTTGAAGAAAATAGGGTCTTTTGTGCTCATATAAGCGCAGATGTAAGTTTGACTGATTTTTTATAGAAAAATGATAAGATTTATGGTAAAAAGCCAATCAGCTGAAACCAAGTTTTAGGCCCCAAAAGATTCAAGATGCTGAGATTTAAAGTGTGGTACTTTCTAAATTACCTGAGCCAAGAAAATTGTCACAGTCATAAAAAAGTTCAGGTAAAGTTGATAAAAATGCAAATGAGATTCTGAAGAACAAACTTAAAGGAATATTCCAGCATAAAATTAATTTATGGTCAAACACACTAACACAGAGTTAGACACCCCCTCGAGAGATGAATGTTGTCGACCGCTTGCTTCTCTGGTTATACCAACTTTAGTAATGACCGCACGATAGCAATACACAGTGGTCTGAGGAGCCATAAACAAACCTCAACCAAAACGCCACCCTATAGCCACAAATAATGCTCAGAACAGCACCTAACTTCATCAACAGGACATATAGAGTCACAGCCATAGTACTAGCCACCAAACATCTTTTTAACTTTGCCTAATTTCTTTAGCAAAGAGACTAAACACAACTCACCTGCTCTCTTTTAGCAGTCACTTGTTTGTAGCGAGACCTCAGGACAGTCCATTACGGACGACAGCGGGGTTTCGCAGCTCAAGGAAGAATATTTATGATATTCAGTGAAAATTGATACATTAACTTGAATGGTTACGATCAGCTGCGATCGGAAGATACAGCCTTTTCGTAGCTGTTCCGGATGCGGTGGAAATTCGGAGTAAGTCGCGTCTTAAAACTCATTTTTATTCCTTAGCTTTTAGTTCAGCATGAGAGTTGTGTGAGCTCTGTCCTTTTGGTCTTTTATGGTTCGAATCCCTTTGTTTTCTATCGCTTCTTTGTCTTTTATGTTTTTGTGTTTTTATTTCATTTATTTTATTTCATTTTAAATGTTCTTTTACCTGCTTTTATGTCTTTTCTCCTGATGTTTTAATGTGTTAATGTTTTTAAAATATAGTATAAAAACAAAGTGGACTGGACTTGATTGGCAGTTGGCAATTGTGGTTCCTCACATTTTGCCCATGTGGTATACAGAAGATAACCAAAAGTGCGAGTTTGTTTATTTATTTAATTTCAGTTTTTATGTTTTTTTCTTTTTTTTGTTGGGAGGGGGTCCTGTGCTGTAAATCCGTCTTCAGGGTCTCTCAGCCCGGTGAGCCGCCACACTGTCAGGAATCACCGCTAATTACCGGCAAAGGTAAATCCCCCCATAGAAACAGCTTAAATCAATTAGCCTGCACTCCGTACGGCTGGGCTCAATCCTCACCACCTTTCTCACGATCCTGCAGAACTGTGGGAAGCTGCTCTGATTGCCCTTCCTCCCCCCCTTGAGCCCCCTCTTCTCTTCTTCCTCCCCCTCCCTCCATTTCTCATCCCTTCATTTTTTGCTTGCTCTGGCAGACATCCACTGCCACTCAGGAGCTGAACAAACAATCCAGCTACTGTTGAAGTCGGAAGAGAAATGTCCTCCTGCTCTGAAATTATAAATAGATTATTCTCGCGGTCAAACACATCAGGAGGAAATCTGTCTTTTTTTAAAAATACTGTAACTTCCTCTCCGCTGCCAACTTGGCCACTTTTCCTCCGGACATTTTTTTTTACACCTCGGCCACTTAATTCCTCCTGAGTGAACAATGACAAATCGGGGTTGGCCATAATATTAGTTTTCTAATACATCAGGTGGATATCAGCCTGAAGGCTCACACTGGGTTTCAGCCAAGCCGCCCACCGCTGACTATGACAGACCATCAGCTCGGCTTTAAAAGAGCTGGTAAAATAAGCAGAGTAAATTTACCTTCAGTATGTTTTTCTACTTTTCATTTACATGTTGAAATAATGACTCAGGTGAAATCACTCTGTCCTAAGTGACATGTGAGTCATACGACTTCAGGTTCAGGTCTACACAGACAGAATAATGCTGTTTTTGAGTCCTTTATCCGCAGATTCTGGTCCTAAAATAATTAAATCCTGTTAAATTACAACATTAGAATATATTTATAATAGAAACAGACTGACGTCTTGGTTTGCCAATTAACTTCTAACTCCTAACTACCGTATTTTTCGCACCATAAGGCGCACTTAAGATCCTTGTGGCTTGTCGGAGCACTGCAGCTACCGTAGCCTCGCAGAGTTATTGAATGAGTTAAATTAAGTTTGACTTATCTGACTGTTTTGTTTGGCTTAATGCGCTTTATAATCTGGCACGCCTTATGTATGAAATTAGACGTGTTCGTTGATGGTGCGCCTTATAATCAGGTGCGCCTTATAGTGGGAAAAATACGGTAGCTACACAGGAGACTGTTTAATTTAAAGTCTACGATCTGAGATGCTAAATTTCCTCAACTATTTGCAAAATACACAAATGCATAATGTCAAGTTTAAAGCTGCTATAACAGAATAGAACAATAGCCTCCGTATCCTCTTTAATTTGGTTACCATTGGCTATGAGAGGCTAAGCCCCACCCCCAAGTTCCGCCGATCTTTGCAGATGTCCACCAGACGTTAAACCAGTTAAAAACTTCCAGTTTACCTTTAAACAACCGCTTGGAGGAGACAGAGAGCCGTACAGCAGAATTTTAGTGCTTTAGGAGCGTCTTTATGAGTTTAACTAGGCTAGGATTGTACGCACTGTGAGTATTAGCCATGAAAATCACCTGGTCTGACACCCGAACCCCTTACAGGGATTTAAACTAAAACAAGTTCAGCAACGTTGATCATGGTCTCATTTGCTTTAAAGATCCTAAAGAGGCGTCAGGATCAGATTTAGACTGTTTCTTTAGCAGTTAAAACTCCTTACAGCGTCTTTAAATTGAAATGAACCCCAGCCAGTGACTGAAACTCTGATGCATTAAAAATTACACTCAGATATATAATGAATATTTCAAAATTATCTTTTTTTTAACGTAATAACCCTTTTTTCTTCTGTAACTTGTTTTAAATGTTGAAATTTTAAGTAAACAAACCATTTTAAAGTGACTTGTAAGTGCGTAAACATTCTTTCAAACTTTGCATTTATAATTTAGTAATGGAACTTCGTATTAAAAGCAGTTTTAAAATGACTTGGCTGCATAAATTACTATTACTATTACTACTCTACTGTGCAAAGTCTTTAAAAGTCTGAAATTTGACTTTAAAACCCCTGAAACACTCAGTAGTCAAATTTTTACTTCTGCAGGAGATTCAGCAGGTAACTTTGAGGTAAAATTCACCAACATATGATCATCAGTGGGAAAAAGAAACCAGAGCAGCAGCAGCGGCACATAAATATTGTCTAAAAAAAGCCTGAAAACAGTAAAAGCGAGTTATGTAAACACGTTCTGCTGAGAGTTTTACCATGTTACCCAGACTGCAAGAATAGCAAAGACCACAGACCGCTAATATTTACAGATTTACCCACAGATGTTCCTACTCAGTCCTACCTGTCCTGAGCAAACGAGCAGTGAAGTAAGAAAATAAATCCCTGGGGCATGTTGGCGGTGGAAGTCAGCTCTGTGTTTTTGGTTATTAGTCAGCCTTTCTACCTCGGGGCCAAACTAAATCCTAAAACCACGGGAACGGCGCTGCCCTTGTTAGCTCAGATTTGGAAACCTAAGCCCTTGTTAGCCATCAGTTGCAGGAGGCAGAATGAAAGCGAAAGGCATCCATGATGATCCTTTCTCCCCCAGAATGAATCTGAATAACGGTGACCAGTTACAGATGAGAAAGCTCGGAGCGCGCTGGAAGAAAAGCTTCATCAGATCTGCTCGTGAAGTTTTATTTCTGCAGAGCTGAGACACAATGTAGGAAATTATCTGTGTTTTCGAAGGCTGAAGTTTAGGAAGATGACCCTCAAAAGAGAGAGTAGAGAAGACAGGACCACATGGGCCTCGGTGATCCCTGCTGTCTGAGCGTAGCCTGGATGTTTTGGGAGATGTTGTGCTCGGTGAGCTGCTCCTTCCAGGCATGGTTGGCTGAGTGTATCTGCGCGTGAACTCTCCTGTAGTGGAGCCGCCGGTTCAAACTCGCCGTTGTTTACAGACATGCATGCTGGGAGCTAATTTTTCACCCCTTGTTTAAAAATAAAGAGCAGACATATCCTACTATTCTGGTGCTTCGCTGTGCATCTCGCTCAACCCCCGGGGCAGAAACACTGAAGGTTCCCCTTCGTCCAGACAGACAGACAGCGTAGGAGGGGAGCGAAGGGAGCAGGGGACGTGGGCGTTGGGTTTACCAGTCTGGGGGTCCCATCTGCAGGGAGATAAATTGTTAGCTATCTATTCATCAGAGCCTCTGGCATGTTCTATCTATGGCAACACAACAGACACTTCAGAAATCCTGGCTGATCCTCTTTGCCTCTCCTCCGAACTGGTATAGGAGGAGGAAGAGGAGGAGGAGGAGGAGGGGGAGACCTGTGTTCCAGCCCTCCATAAATATCAAATATGTGGGCAGCTTAGATATACTCATCCAAGCTCCAAACAGGAGAACAAGAACTATTTCTTGGGCTTGAACTCCATCTTCCCTCAAGAACAACAAAAACCCTTTTCTGAGAACACTTTGTCCCAAATCTGAGACTTCGTTCCTCCTCTGGTGTTTGACTCGGTTACATAACGGCTAAAAAAGCAGGTTGAAAGTCATTTCTTCATTGGATCACCGAGTGCTTATGTGTATTTATTTGGAGTAAATATAGGGGCCCTTGAGACTAAAGCGAGCTCTCAGTGTCTCTGCTTTCCGATCTTACTCTCACCCCGTCCGGCCTGAGCAGCTGTGCACACAGAGACGACCGCTGAACCGGCCAAGTCTATTCAGCTCTCATTAATGAGACAATCTGGACGAGTAAACCTGGACGTTCGCAGCATTCAAACCGCCGACAGTGTCTCTCAGATCATCTCTAATAACGGTGTGATGATGATGTACAACCTAGGGCTGGGGGATAAACCGAAAATTTACCGCTATCGAAATTCACGACAATAACCAACGGCATTTTGCCCATACCAGGATATTTGGTTCATTATCATTATTATCATTATTATTATATCATTAATAGACGATCATTTTCAGCCGTGTTAAACAACCAGATGAACAGATGCGTCCATTTTTGTAGTCATCTTGCAGTGAGAGCCAACACTCTTGACTGCGCTAGCAACACAAAAGAACTACAACAGTGGTTTGACTTCCTGTCACCACTGGAAGTGAAAAGCGACTCGGAGCGACTGCCGCTCCGACTCGGCTGCCACTTTTACCTAAAATAAAAAAATGCAACGTTTTTTCAACATGTTTGGTTTTATTCAAATGGGAGTGAGAGTCATTTTATTTATTTTTATTTATTTATTTATTTATTTAGACAGGACAGTACCAGTTCATGGACAAGGAGAAGAAGACATGATACAAGAAATATGTATGTCTATTCTCATTGTAAACCAGCCGGAGTTAGCTAAGGCTAATTTCCATCCGTTGTCCTATTTCGAGTGGGAGCGGGATGGGAGTGGGAGTCATTCTACAGGAGTGGGACAGGACTGGATTAATATTTTTACTATTTAAATCTGCTCCTGTGTCATGCTCTAGTGTGTAGGTAGGCTATGGTCTCATGTCCCTTTAAGACGCTGTCCTACATCAGAGACGTGACTCCACCCCATCCAGTCTGTAACAAAGAGGGAAAGACAGTCGAGGAGATGGAGGACAGTTCAAAAGTTGTAGCGGCTGAAGTAGACGAAGTTAATGTGGGAGGGGGTGAGCGGCTTGTGGAGTAGTTATCTTCCATTTATCGTTATCGAGATGAACTGATCAATATATCGTGATATTGATTTGAAGCCGTATCACCCAGCCCTACTACAACCACCACTAATTTTGGTCATTTAGGCGTGTAGTTCATCAGACGAGCATATTTAGATGTTGGTCTTTGATTTCCAGTCGCTGCCTGATCAAACTTTCAAAAGACCGAGAATCTAGACAGACGTTTCTCCAGGATGTTTCATAAAGGTGTTAACAAGTGTCTGCATCAGGCTCCTCTGTATTCCTGGTACGAGGCCACAGAGGAAAAACAAGTGATTGTGATTCTGACAGGCAGGCAGACTGAAAAAGTGATAGGCTGGCTGAAGGATGGAGAGACTGAATAAGGTCAGGGCAGATGGGGCCAGATCATTGAGAGCACATCAGCGGCTCAAAGGATAAAGAGGCAAACAGGTACGCAGGCGGCGGGGGTGATGGAGTGGGTTAGAAAAGAACCTGAAACAGAGGAGTGTGTGTTCAGGTGGAGAAGTTTGAGGGATGAGATCAGAACGTTGAGTCTGACCCTCATCAAGTTTTTATAGAGACCTTTAAAGAACCCGGACTAGAGCTGAGCATCTACCAGGAATTTTTTTAAATAGTCCTTTTTAAACCTTCCAGTTAGAAGGTAATAAGTCTGCAGGCAAACAATTAAAAACACAAAATGCTCTACTGAGCGTGGTTTACACTTGCAGAGCTAGCACCTCCAGATCCCTGCAGGTTGATATCTGCGCACCGTACACAGTTTACACACAAACCCTTATCCGCATAATCTAGATCCAAACACAGCCGAACAGTGTTGAGATGTCATCTGTCATGCCTGTTTATAAAGAGTATAATAGCATTATGGTCGTAGCTCCGGCTAACAGCAGGTGGCTGTGCTCCAGCTTAGACATGATGTATGATCAGCTTTGGATGTCCACAATTAAAAGATTAATAATTACTGGTTCATGTTCGTGTTTATCTGTTTAGTTGACCCAAATTGTGATATTTGTCTTTAGTAGTTGTTCTCTCATTAACCCTTAGATCTCCCAGCTATATTTGGCTATTTTTGGTCAAAATTATGCAAAAATTATGTAGCATGAATGTGACAGTAGATTTAGAACCATCAAAGTCAACCAAAAAACAAAAACAAAAACGGAAATTGATCCCAACAGTACATCTCTCAAAAAACACATAAATCTACAGTGACCAAGTCTTTTCTCACCAGCAAAGTCTTGGCTATCAGGAGAAGAAATATTGGGATTGGAACAAACACACAACAGAAACTATTTATGTATTTACACTAATTCTTCCAGGCATTTTTTACTATTTACAGTTGTTTTTGCCACTCCTTGAAGCAGTTCCTGTCTGGGATGAGACAGTTGACCACATCTTACTGCTCAGAATCTCTTCTTTGCTTGTTTCCAAGAATTTAGGACCATTATTTATTATTTTGCAGACAAACAGGGGACTTTCTTGTCTCTTGTTGATCTTTGGTTGCCTCTAATTGGACACTACCGTCAAGAGATCAATAGAAGAAGAACATGAGACCATGTAATTGGTCGAAAGTTTGACAGAAAAAGGCGTCATCAAAACAGCTTGTCAAACCCCAAAGACATTAGCGGCATTTAGCGATAAATAATCATGTTTTCACCAGTATATCACAGTGGATTCACCATCAAACCTCTCTGATCAAACACCTATTTTTGTGGCTGGATTGTAAACCTTGTGGCAGGTGTAGAAATACCTGGAAACCCTCGATAGATCACCAAAAGGTTCAGCTTTTGAACGCTTTTCATCCCACAGAGATACACGGTATAGTTCCTTAGAAACTATAAACAATATTAATGGTGTCACATTGGATCGTCGGCGATCCAGTGGAGTTCTAAGTGTTAAATTGATAGTTACAGCAATGATAAAGACCATCCAGGTCTGATAACACACTGTACCGCAGACACTTTGAAACACACAGGAAAGACAGCAAATGAAAACGTGTTGATATTGTACTCATCTGCGGTAATGCTCAGTGACAACACACAAATCTGGATTATTCCCTCTTTCCAGATGGTTAACTGTGAAATAGGTTCATTATGTCAAAGTAAACATGGCGGGATCATGACAGGCTGGCAGGAGCGGAGAGCAGATGTCGTGATCTGATTGAGCGGTTATCTAAAACCCCTCGGTCGTGGATGGAAAAACTCGAGATGGGTGTTCACCTCGTCAACATGTTTTGGTTTCCTCCCCTTTTGTTCTGTGTAAGCGAAGGTCGATAAACAGGCAGACGGGCTGATAACACCAGTCATAAAGAGCAGCAGATGGAGTCACGATGTAAACACACAGACTACAGATCTGATTAGATTCTGGCAGATTGCCTCTCTGCTAATTCTGAATTTTTCACAGCCAGTCTTCCTGTGTTTTCTCACTCTCTCTGCGTCCGTCTCTTTTCCTCAAAACGTTCCGGGTTTGCCAAGTGGAGTGTCACCAAACGAGTGAATTCAGATGTTAGCGGGAATACCTGCGAACGTCTGAGAGCCAGGTATGAAGCCACCGTTGAGACTCATTGATAAGACGAAGAAGAAGAAGAGACGCGTTTGTTTAACTCAGATATATCAGAGTGTAGTGTTCCCCAAACACTGGTGCATCAGGGATTTTTACAACACGTCCCAATGCAGAGCAGCATCTTGGCAGTTCAACGTTGCCGTGGGAAACGCCTACTCACAGCCTCACTCTCTGGACATGATCTTCAAAAATCCGTCCAAAACTCGGGGTTTATTGTCTCATGAACAATAGAGAGCTGAGTCTCTCAATGTGCCGTTTCTGGTCCAAAACCTAGAGGAGGGGGGTTTGCTGTATATTTGCAGGATTATATTGTTTCCTGCAGATAGAATGGCGTGATTGTGTGTATTTATAACAAATAAAAATGGTGCAAAAAAGAAGAGAGGGAAAATTGCAATAACCTCAAACAGATGTCCAATCAATCAGCCAGCCAATTAATCTTTGCCACTTTCAAATAATTAGCATCACATCTGGACGAGTGCTTAAACATCAGGATCATCTAACAGCTCATAAATGCTAAGCCCCGCCCACAAACAGACTCTCCTGCTCACTCGTATCGTTCCAATTAAATTCAGATATAATGCAGATAAATACTTCAGTTAATTACAAATGGGGCCCAGTCAAAGTGAAAGTAAAAAGCATTGGTGCTACTGTAGATGCCAACAGACTACCAGCAAACACAATGTTTGCAGGACTTCTACAACTAGGATAAAGTGACATAGTCCAGGTCCCGAGGTCAACAGTTTAGCGGTGGCGCTACAACACGCTACAGCAGGTCCGTTTGACAAGAAACACTTCTATTACAGACACTTGTCTTACTTTAAGTGGTTTACCTGTCCAGAAGAAAGTTTACAGGGTCCGTAAGATCCAGAAGCGTCCCCCATCGTCTATGCTGATGTTGACTCGGCTTTTTAGCTCTTGTCCGGTCTACCTCTGTTTTAAGCGCCCGTTATTCCGCCAGAGTCTCCGGTATTTTCTTCGTTTTCTTGCTTGTGTCGGCAGTCGTGGCCAAAGGAGGATTCAGACAATTTTCCGAACTTTCTGGTTGGTTTCTACTCAGGCCCGACTGTTATGGTTTTTTGGGGCCAATGCCGATACTGATTATTAGGGGGGAAAAAAGTCTGATTAATTAGCCGATTTTTAACATTTTTGATGAAGTTATTATATACATATAGTAGATAGTTACAGTAAAATGTGAAACCGAATCTTATTTTCTGCATTTTATTTCTGAAAATATCGGCGAAAATCTGCGAGTTTTGGCCGATTACTGATTACTCTCAAACGGGCTAAAATTGGCCAATTTAATCGACTCACCGATAAATCAGTCGGGCCCTAGTTTCTACTATCCGATATTGTAGCACGCTAACTTTGTTTGGGCTCGTGAACAACACGGAGGAGCAGTGTCTGCCTCACAACCAATCAGCTTAGGGGAGGTGGAGAAAGGCTTTGTTTACAGTCAGAAAGAGCGGGCCGCTCTAAAAATTACACAGACATAACAAAACACAGCGATATCGTTATATCACCAAATGTCATCAATGACTAATAGCTATTGACTGATATTAAAAGCTTTTTTGTATAAACACCACAAAAAAAGATGCTTCTTTAACGGATTCCTGCCTACCCCACCTTTAACCAGATCAAGTTCCTTACTGTTGTGCGTCTGCTCTGTTTTATTCCAGTCTGTCTCCCTGACAGGGTAGGTGGCTTAAAGACAACCTCTGCGCGAAATCAGTGCTATTGACCACTCGAAATGTCACAATCAATATCTGCAACAAGTCCTCTGAGGTTCTGGTCTTTTAACAGAAACATTCAGGAAGTCTGAGTCTCTTTATCGTGACATTTTTGTACACAGATATTTTGTTAAAGGGCATTTGGGTTTTGGTGTTTTTGATATTCGTTGGACGAAACTGCTTAGAAGAAAAAAAACAAAAAAACACTTGATCACAAAATGTTCTGCGTCTTCATCCCTACAAGCACAGAAGCCCCTGTTCTCCTCCCTTTCTTGTTTCCTTTCATCTCTCCTCTTTCCCCCCTTTCTTCCCTTCTCTTTCTCTCCCTCCCTCTCGATCTTTTCCAGCCGAGTCTGCCAGCTCTCACGCGGATCTGAGCTCGGACAGATGGTAGCGAGCAGAAAGTGTTTACTTGCACACGGCTCCTGACAAAACGAGCAGATGCCTGCAGAGCCGCAGCTCCCCTGCAATCGCCATGATACCCGAACGGGCCCGACAGGAGGAGGAGGAGGAGGAGGAGACAGCAGAGAAAAGGACAGGGAGACGAGGTGGTGAGGTAGTTTAATGCTTGAATAGAGAGAGGAGCTTTAGTCCTGACTCTTAAAACACACACAACTCATTACAGAACAGCAAACAGGGCTTCACTTCACCTGTCCGTCCTCTCGTTTTCGATCTGCTGTGCCTTTTTATCTTTTAATAAGATGTTTGGACACCTCTGGAGGTTTCTGGGTCTCATTGGTACACCACTTCCTTTCTTTTCCTGTCTAGTTCTCACTTGCAGGATACAAACTATAAATCTGTGATTTGTTTCCCAATTAAAATGAGGTACATTTTCTTCACACAGTTTATATATAGAGCTCAATTTTATTACAAATCCAGAGGGGACACACTCAGGCTTCAAAAGCAAACGCTGGTTGGAGCTGATTTGTTTGCAGATCAAAGTATCGAGATGTCGAGCTTGAACCGAGCTAAATTTGGTTACACAGTAAGAGTAATGGAAGAAGATAAACGAGAAGGATCCAGAAATATTATAATATTATGATATAACTTGATTCCAAAAATGTTGGGACACTTTTAATAATACAAATGTTAGAGACCCATTCTGATGAAAATCATGTTTTTCTTGTTGTCCACATGTTAACATGACATTTTTCTGATGCTACAGGACATATCATGAGAAAAATAGGTGCAAAATTGCATTTTCTGAGTATTTCTTCATTCAAATCGCTGCAAATCTCTGGCGCACCCAAACAGCAGGATCAGATACAGTGAGATTTCATACGTCACAAATCCAAGCCCCGCCCCCGGAGCCCCACTATGCAGGCCAGACTCTGCATATAGAGGAGAAATACTACTACACCAGCAATATTAGGCTGCAAGCTAACGTGAAGAGGAGTGTGCAGAGCAGCACTGTCTCCATCCACGGCTCAGAGGTGAATTGCTAATGATCTACTGGAGCTCTGCAGAAGAAAAGTTCTTGAAAATGACAGGTAATGACATTTTGGCAAAAAACTTCATAATCACAGTTTGAAGACCACTGATAACACTTGAAAAGTCCTAAATTTCTTTAAAAGCAATGCAAAAACAAAATATTAAATTTCACAACTGATTAAAATGTATTCCTCCATGTTCATTTTAAATGTGATACCAGCAGCAGGTCTTGAAAAAGTTGGTGCAAGAGCAACTTTTATAAAAAAAAAGTTCACAAATACACACAATAACATCTAATTAGGCGACACGTTAGCAACATGTCTGAGTATAAAAAGGTCACTCAAGAGAGGCAGAGACCTAAAGGAGAAAAGTCTGAAAAAACTTCACATCTCCATGAGAGGCTGCAAGAGTAATAAAGAAGTTGGGAAATCGGGGAAAATTTAAATTAATTTGGGCATTTCGTCAGTCACACTGTATACTAGGGCTGGGTGATACGTCCTCAAATCAATACGATATATTGAGCAGTTTGACGATAAATTGACGATAACTGCTCCACAAGCTGCCCAGCCCCTCCCACATTAACTTCATCTACTTCAGCCGCCGCTTCAACTTCTAAACCATCCACCATCTCCTCACCTGTCTTTCCCTCTTTGACTGGAATGGGTGGAGTCACGTCTCCAACGTAGGACAGCGTCTTAAGGGGACATGAGACCATAGCCTACCTACACACATCAAAAAACAACTTTTAATTTATTTATTTATT